AAAGAAAGGCCCGTGGTGGGAAGATACAGGAGGTCAAGACAAGGGAAGGGAAAAAAAGATCTAGAGTGAAGCCAGCCAACAGTAGGGAAGAGGAGCAGTGGAAGAAGAAATGATGGGTAGATACAGCCCAGTGAAGACATAAGACTAAAAAATGAGACTGCCATGCTTCTCTTTACAGGAAAAAGATAATGGGCATCAGAAGAGCATTAGGCAGTTGTTTTCAGTTATTGCCCCATCGTTATCATGCAGACTGAATTGCTTTTGCAAGGCATAAATTCATAGAGTGGGCAGATAACCACTAATGCAATTTTTTTGTGTTCTCACTAGGTAGACATCCAGCCTTATGACTTATGAAAAGATTGTTAAAAGGCCTATCTTGGGCTGAAAAATGGAAGCGAAACAGGGTTAAGTCCAATAAACCTAAGCCACGTTTTCAACGTTGGGTGTGTAATTGGACACCCAGATAGATACCAGGTTTAGGTATCCTCATGTAGCCAGCCTCATTTGAAAATTTGAGCTCAGTAACTGGGGTCTTGGATTCATAAGGGTTTCAAAACAAATGGCTTTTGAACCATAATGTTGCCTCTCTATTATAGGGTTAACTTTTAGTAAGTTCCTGCTCAGACCTGCCAAATAGATTCAAATTAAATGACTTTTTAAACAATTAAACAAAAATAAAACTAGGGGAGTTTTAAAGGCAGGGTTAATGCAGAGTTAAGATGGTTCTGGTTCTGCCACAATTTTGGATGTTATTTAGTAGTATAGGCAGCGACGTCTGTCCTAAGAGCAAGCAGAAAGAACTTTGTAAAATACCTTAAACAGATTTCATTTTATACCCGTCTTTTAATCAAAAGGAGAATACAAGCCTTTTTTTCCTCATTTTCATCTTACTCAATATTTTCCTTTTAATAAAGCACAGAATAAGTGTCCTGTAGATGTGAAATAAGAGTGGAATGTGGATTATTATACATTGGAATAATGTAACAACTTTCACTCCTGGCTTGATAACTCAGTAACAGGACATTCTGTACATTCCTTTCATTGTGAAAACATTGCTGGTTGTTTAGACATTACATATAGTCTATAGATAGAGAAGTGTGTGTTTGTGGGGGCTGGGAAGAAAGAGAATGCAAAGAGAAATATGTATAGGATAGATCCCTTTTTGTTTGCCTGAGATATTTTCATTGGGTGGAATGGTTTCCCAGGCCCTGAAGTTGAACATTCATTAGCATTTCCACAATGGTCAGCTAATTATTCATGACAATATTGCTTAGTAATTATTGCCCCCTGTCCCCACATGAGACAGGTATAGTACAATGCAGTGAGGAATCACTGGCTGTCTCCTAGGACTCAGTGACTTTGTCTACCACAGTTGCATTGCTGTGTATAAAAATCTGGGTTTTACTTCTTTATTTATGTATGTGTTTTATTCAGCTAGGCTTGTAAGGTGAAGAATGTTTTAACTGAAATAATGTTCCTTGCTGGGATAGTGTAGTTTCATTTAAAGAAAATTTAAATTGAGCAATAGTGTAATCTATGAACAACTAAATAAAAGCCTTTATGATTTGGAATAACAGTGCTATCATTCCCTGGAGTGCTGTTGGGAAGGGAATAAAAGGTTGTTATTTAAAGTTATTGTGAATAAGAAATGCATAATGCTAATTCATGACTGAGTTTTATTTTCTTGCTGTGATACAGAGGTGAAAAGGTGCGCAGTAAATGATAAAAGACACTAAATATTTTTCATTTTATTTTATCTTCTCCAGTCATCTCAACCAGAACTCCTCCTCCGCCTTCACCATTGCCATTTCCAGCCCAGGCTATTCTCCCTCCTGCCCCGTCTAGCTACTTCTCTCATCCAACAATCAGATATCCTCCCCACCTGAATCCTCAGGATACTCTGAAGAATTATGTACCTTCTTATGACCCGTCCAGTCCTCAGACTAGCCAGGTACTGTAAAAATAAACAATATGAAAAGAAATCCTATGAGGAGTATGTACCCATCAGGGTATGCAGAGCTGATCAGCTCATTAGGTCTGATACCAGAACAAGTTGGAACTTCAGACATAAGTGATTTTTTTAAAATTAAATTTGATTGGATACAGAGGCTTGCTTGCAGGAACAGATTAATCATATCCACTTGCTCTTTCTTTGTGGAGCCTAAGAGGAATACTTGTGTTGAATGATCCAGTTGCACTAGGAGAAGAGGTGCAAATTCTTCAGTCCTCTGGCACACAAAATTCTTGAATGGGAGTTCTGTGTGTACAGCAGGGCTGCAGGATTGGTAGATAGCTCAGTTGTGAGAAAAGTTACAGTAATTTGCACCTCTGATTCATGTGGTGAAACACAAATGACGTGCTTGCTTTAGGGAGGAGCAAATGTAAATGCATATACACAAAAGACTATACAGGTATATTTATAGACCAAGTATTAAGATAAAATCAACTCTGGCAAGGTAATACTTGCAATGTTACATTGATTCTTGACAGTTCATACAGTCGCAAAAACACTTCAGTAATGAGTGTGACACAGAACCAAAGACTTGTTTTTTCCCTTTTTGTAAAGAGCATGTAACAGGAGTTGTATTTTCTGGCAGATATATTGACTCAAATCTGGGAAGTTTGATGTGGAAAGTTAATGTGGTTTCCATTAGAGTAGTAATTTGTAAAGGACTGTGTGCAAGAGTGCTTTTTCATGATACAAACAACCCATAGCATTAACATGTGATTTGTGCTATAGGAAAAACTGTAGTTGAGCCTTGGTCTGTCAATACTTGGAATACTTCCAGTATTCTAGTCAATGTAATGTAATCCTCATTGCTTGGTCTGGTTTCTGGCTTTGCTGCCTTGTCTGAAATGTTCCTGTAAAGCCTTGTTGCTCATGTTATGATATGTTTTTAGGGGAGATTCAAGAGCGTGCACTGAAATGACAGCATAGCCCACTGAATTACCCTCCCCCCCCCCAAATTAGTCATAAATCTTGTTTTATCAACTGAGATAAACAGGCAGAGATTGTTCTGATAAATATTTAGCCCTTTGCATATATTTCAGGCACTGCAGTGAGAGAATTTGGGATGGAATCAAAGTATCTATGTTGAATAACAGATAAGGCTCCCTGTGGGCTGTTCAAAAAATTACTGTGGTTATTGGGCCCCATTGGCTAGCATTCTGATACAGCTGCATATTGCATATTTAAAGAAAATATTGGTTTATAAACTTGCATCTTCCTTGGAAGGAAATCATCCAAATAATGTGATTTGTATTGGTTAGAACATTAATGCAAATTAAACCAAACAGTGGAGTTGGAGTATGTCAGTTTTAGATGACAAATTTCTGTCAGTGCATGGATTAAAAATCTTTGTCCCATATAACATTTTTTGCTGAGACTCAGCTGGGAACAGTGCACACAGGACCTGATTTTAATTTGTGCAAAATTTCCATGAATAACAAAGTCTAATTAAGACATCCATTAAAAGTCCTTAACGGTAATTCAGTGCGGAAAATCTTAGCGTTGTATTGGATTTTTTTTAAAACTGATGTCTTAATTAGGCAGTATTAAGGGAAAAGTTATGCAAATTAAAATCAGGCCGTTAGTGGTATGTACTTCTTTAATTATTCTGTCCTTGTTTTACTTGCATTTCAATTGCTTATATATGTTAAAATGGCAGATTAAGTGATAATCTCTCTATAGCGTTCCCTGTTTGGTTTCAGATTATCAAGGTAACCTATAATGTACTAAGTGAAGTATCTCACTCTCTCTTCAGTAGTTGATGAATGTGCTCTCTTGTGGTTTTAATACTGTGAAGCACATGTATTGAGCGGGAGGAGTTCCATCAGCCCTTTCCTAAGAAGAATCAGCTCCTTTCTAATACCACATATAAAAGGTTAACCTACTAACCTTAAAAGAGAAGTTTTATTCTGCTGAAGCTTTTGGACTAGCAGCAAGCTGAAGACATTTTCTCTTCTTGCTTTGTGACACACTAGGGAATAACAGGCCAAATTGGGTTTGATTTACTACTTTTGTCACCTTTCATAACCTTAATATTAGGGGAATGTTTTTCATTTTATTTGATGTTCGATTTAGTTTCTGGGGAATGGGGGCAGAGTGAAACAGCATTATTGTATTCCAATCTTCTACTCCAGTGGTTCTTTGCAATTTATTATTATTAGTCACTATTATTATTGATATCAGATATGTGGTACACTAGAGGATGTGCATGCACAATCTAAACTTGTCTTGTGCACAGCAACTGTGGGATGAGGCTGTATAAAACTGTAAAATAGCAAGAATAATTTTCTTTCTTAGGAGAAGAAGCAGCAGCCGTCTGTGAAGTTTCAGTGACAAAAGGGAATTGTTCTGATACAATGGCATGCTTTGAGCCAAACCAGTTTTTCTTTTCTAAATAAAACATGAATTTTTATTCAAACAAATTTAATTATTATAAAATGCGAAACTGCATCAGTAGGAATACCACATCAAATTTAATTATACTTCCCCACCTCAAAACATATTCATTTGGATTTCAAAGGAGAACTAGGATGATAGTCTTAATTTCAGCTTTAGAAATAGAAAGAATGGATACCCTGACAGCATTTACCTAAAATGAACCGTTCCTCCCCAACATCTTTCAGTAATACACTAATTTAGATTGTTACGACAAGCAACTGAGATGCCTTGTACTCCCCACAGCAATTTTGAGATTAATTACATTACTGCTGCACCGATTATAGTGAGACAGTCGTGCTATTCAGTGGAATATTTTAGTAAAATTCATTTAAAGATATAGAGCTCCCATAGGTTTCCACAGTGGCAATTTTCTTGACATAATGTTAAATACGCCAGATTATGCATGATGAACAGCCAAAGTTCAAACAGGCCATTTAGCTGCAGTGAAAAATAATGCAACAACCAACAAATGTAAACAAAAGAGAGCCATTGCTCCTGTATTTAAGTGATATTTTTTTTCATCACTGCTCTGACTGGAGCATGAATAATAAATAAATATACTATACAGACAGAAATCTGTATCCAACTGGTGACTTGAAGGTATCCCCATTCAATATTGAGTTAAATATCTTATGATGAGTCAATTAACTTTTCAGTTTCCTTGGCATTATGTACAGGCATGTGTTACTGCGTGTGTGTGTGTGTGTATGTGTGGGTATCATGACAGGTTGCTAGTTCCTCAGTAGTAAAGGCTGATAGTAGTTGCTTAGTGCAGGGTTGATCTTCTACCACTATAGTTTCTCCAAAAAATAACCGGCTCACCTGTACCTAATCTACTTATAGTATGGCTGAGATTTTCAAAGCTGCTTAAGGAGTTTGGATGCTGATTTCCTTCCAAAAGTTACATCACTGGATTATCCATTCCTCTACATTGTTTTGAAAATTTCAACACACGTGTACACACACATGTATATGTATATACATTATATTTAATATAGTTACTATATGTAAATAATCCTAAATGCCATTAAGATTAAAATGAAAGCATTAAAATAAAACTTAAACATCTACTTAACGTGACTAAATCATCAAGCAGAAGAAAACAACCTGCCCGAGGCAAATTCACTAAATTCCAGTCAAGTATCCCAACCCCAGGAAGGGGGAATGATTCTCAAATTATCATGAAGAGAAGCAAAAAAAAGGGATAAGCAAACAAAATAAATAGCAGCGAAGAAAAGAGTCAAAGGAAATGCTTTCAAAGAACATTATGGCATCAGTAGAGGCAGGGGATGACCTCTTCTGGAAAAGAGGACAACAGCTGAAGCCCCAGCATTGAGAAAACTGTGCAAAGAGGAAACAAAAAGGTGTCCTTTCCTGTGTATGAATAATGCACAGTAGGGCTGTGCAAAATGGCTGTTACATTTTGGTTTCGGATTTGGTCGTTTTGGAGGACAGTGATTTTTTTCGGTGTTTTGGCTTACTGTTCCACTTCAATTCGGCCAAATCTGTTGTGGAATTTCAACGCTGGTTTGGAGATTTGGGTCGGCTGGGGAGAGGCAAGCACAGCTGCGCAAATGCAGGTTCTCCTGTGGCTTCTCCAGCTGTGCTTGCTTCTCACTAGGTGTGAGGAGCCACAGGAGGATCCCCCATGGCTACCCTGCCCGGCCCCGGCCTCCCGGCACTTGGGGGGTGGGGGGGAAAGCTCTGTACTCACCAGCTGTAGCAGTGGCGATTGGGGCCTCTTGGTGCTCGTGACAGAGCCCCCCCAGCTTGGCACCCATGCGGCGGCTGTTGCATGGCGCAGGCGCAGCACAGCTCGGCAGGGCTCCGCGTGCTGTCTAGGAGCTGGGGCTCCAGCAGTCAGTCGGAGCCCAACACCGCTCAGCCTCAGCAGCCCCAGCTCCCAGACAGTGTGAGGTGCCCTGCCGAGCCGCACTGCACCCACGCCATGGGGCAGCTGCCGCACGGGTGCCATCTTGGGGGGTGATCCCAACTGCCCCCTGCTGCCCCGTGCTGCGTGGGGGGCTCTGTCATGAGCCCTCAGATGCCCTGGTCGCCACTGCTGCAGCCGGTGAATGCGGGGCTTTTTAAAAATTTTTTTTTTAAGTGCTGGCAGGCTGGGGCCAGGCGGGGGTTGGAGAAAGGCAGGGGAGCCATGGGGGCTTCTCCCGCGGCTCCTCTGGCTGTGCCTGCCTCTGCCCCAGCAGGGGGAGCTGCGGGGCAGCTCCCTATGGCTGCCCGGCCCCATCTCCTACCTAGCCCCATCCTCCTGGCACTTTACAAGGAGGGCTACAGGGCTGTGCCGGACTATTCCTGAGGAGCACCTCCAAAACATTCCGAAATGTTTTGGATGGTTTCGTTTCATTTCAGAGATGTTTCAGAGCCTTACTTTTCGTTTCGGATTCGGTGTTTTAGGCACCGAAACAGGCCAAAACACCTCTGAAACGGAACAACTGCCAAAATTTCGCACAGCCCTAATGCACTAAAGTGTTTAGTAGCACTTA